GCATGTTACCACACCCAGTTTATTGGTTGAGATGGGTGTCTTGGTAACTTTTTGCGCAGCTTTGTATAGCCTTATTTGTTCAGCTCCCTGCAGTTTCTTGGGAGCCAGGGAGGCTATGAAGTCCTCCTAGTATCAGTCATATAGACCACTACTGTCCTTCCTTAAGAGGATCTATTAATTTCTACAGACTAACAGAAATCTGTCTTCAGGATTTCTGATCTTTTAATCTTCTTCCCTGGGCTCTGTACTACCGAACCCTAGGTTTTTCTTAGGCCCATATGGAAAAATGTCTTGTTCAAGATACAGCAGATACTATTTACCTGACTCCATAGTTCCTTTGCTCAGGAAAAAAAGCAAGTCATTGGACTGAAGCTGATAGAGAAAGGCAAAAGGGGCTGGGACTGTGACTCAAGAAAGGTAGAGCACTTGCCTGTAAAATGCATGTGCGCGCGCACACACACACACACACACACACACACACACACACACACACCAGGGTTGCATACACTAAAGTCCCATTTCTTCAATTTGTTTATTTCCAAAACCAAAACCTCTTTCTTTTTTTCTGGTGGTGGTCCTGGGAATATTGAACAGGGTCTCATGTCTGCTAAGAACATGCTCTATTAATGAGTTAACCCCTCAGCCGTGAGAACCCAAACTTTTAATAAGGGACTGTCAAACAACAGCAAAAATCTTGTTTAGGATTCCTAATTCTGCTCTTCTATTCTTAGCCATCTATATTCATGTGGATATGTAATAGGGTGTTAAACACAACACAGCAAAGATACATCTCTTGACAACTAACCTTTCAAGACATCTTTTCCTCACCTGGATACACAGCACCACCATCTATTCCTCAAGAATAACAGAGTTATTCTTGATTCTTTTATTCTCTTGTATTTCATGTCCAATCTACTACCATGTTTCATAGACTACACACCTCCAAATGATAGCATGAAATCACACACTGCTCTTTTTCTTTATCATTAGCATCTGATAGGCACAAGATGCTATCTTTCATATGAATTTTGGCCAAAGCTTTCTAACAGGTCTCCTGCCTCGCCTATCACTGAGTCTCTGCTGAGTGGTGCTATAGTTTGGATCTTAAGCATTCCCCAAAGGTCTATGTGGTAAAGTCTTGGTCCCTAGTGTGGTGCTATTTGGAGGTGATAGAATCTTTAAGAGGTGGGGCCTAGAGTCAGGTCTTTCAGATCATCAGAGGAATGCCCTTGAAGGGAATTGTGGGCCCACCCCCCCCAACTCTCGCCAACCCTTTCCCCTAAATCTCTCTTTTGCTATTGGCTATAAGGTTAGTTTTTCTCTGTTACCTGCCATGATGGGCTCAAATCAAGAGGGCTAACTGATCATGGACTTAATCCTCTGAAACTATGAACCAAAATAAACCTTTTCTCTTTATAATTACCTCAAATATTTGTTATAGTGACAGAAAGCTGACTAACACATGTGGCTAGGGTAACTTTTTCCCTAATTAAGAAAGTATACACCATTGCTCAAGTGGTAGAGCACCTGCCTAGGAAGCATGAGTTCAAATTCCAGTTCCACAAAGAAAAAAAGTGTAAACACTACAGAAAAGTTGTAAATATAATAAAGAAACTTTTGGCATGGTGTAGTGGCCTGTAATTCCAGCTACTTGGAAGAGAGAGCTCAGAAGGATCATGGTTCCAGGATAGCCCAAACAGTTAATGAGAATCAACCTCAGCAAATAAACTGGGCCTGGTGGTGTGCACCTGTAATTCCAGCTATGTGGAAAGCACAGGTAGGAAAATTGTAACCCAAGGCTGAGACCTGGCAAAAAATGTGAGACCCTATCTGAAAAATAAACTACAAAAGACCTGGAGTTGTGGCTTAAGTGGTAGAGCAATCTGCCCAGGAAGCAGATGAGGCCCTTAGTTCAAACTCCTGTAACACCAAAAATAAAAATAAGAAAAAGAACAATTAAACCTCACCTATATGACACAAATGTTCTACAATGAGCTTTATCCCTAGCCCTTCCTTATTTATTTTTTTGAGATAGGGTCTCAAAAAAGGATGGCCTTGAACACAAAATCCTCCTGCCTCCCAAGTGTTGGGATTATAGCTCCTAGTGTGTAGTTTTTTTTTAATAATAATACTCTCCTACATGATTATGATACAATTACCCAAAATCAGGAAATTAACACTGATTTTACTACCATATAATCCTAAGACCCCATTCCATTTTCTTCAATTATCCTAATTATGATTTTATAGCAAAAGTCCAGTCTAGAATCATGTACTATGTTCAGCTGTTAGGTTTATTCTAGTTGGCCTATGTATATATGTATGTATATATGTGGTACTGGGGCTCAAATCAAGGTAGGCAAGTGCTCTGCTAATGAGCTACATCCCAAACCAGTCTGTGTCCTTCTCATACGTCCCTATCATTCCTGAGAATGTCCTTGATACTTGGCACAATAAAATGCTCCAGGGTCACTATATATGTATTTTTATTGATAATCATTTCTATACCTATATATGAAAACCTGAGTTCACAGTGTTTTATTGAATTTTAGTCCAATATCAGTGTTAATTTTATTTTGCTCTTCTTCTCTATTTGTAATTCTTTACCTAACACTGAGAAACTTAGCTTCCATTTTCCTTAATATATACATATGTATATATATGTACATACATACACATATATATAGATAACCAATGTCTTCTAGGTAGCCAATCTCCCATTTCTGCTGCCAGCCCATCCCCATGCAGATCCTTACTTTAACTGCTTTGGTTCTGATTCCCCATTCTGAATCACCTTGCATGCCACCACCTCCCTCCCCAGTACTCCTTATCTTACTTGGGCACTTAAACCATGGAAAGCCTGGCTCTCTGCATGGACATCCTCTTTACCCTGCTTGGGCTCTGAGGCTTTCACCCTGAGCCACTATGGCTCCCCACTCTCACCCACTTGCTACAAATATGGATGCGTATCTAGCTGTGCCCCACGTAGTATCTTTAAGACTGGACTGTTAGGGAAGGAAGCAGACAAAGGAGAGAATGATTTTTAAAAACATACAGCAGCTGGGCCCTGGTGGCTCACATCTGTAATCCTAACTGGAACAGAGCAAGCTGGGTGCCGGAGGCTCATGCCTGTAATCCTAGCTACTCAGGAGGCAGAAATCAGGAGGATGGTGGTTTGAAGCCAGCCTGGGCAAACAGTTCTTGAGACTCTATCTTGGGAAAAAACCCATCATGAAAAGGGCTAGTAGAGAGGCTCAAGGTGTAGGCCCTAAGTCTAAGCCCTAGTACTGCAAACCAAAACCATACATCTACTGCTGAGGTTATAACTCAGAATGTGGCTGCCAGAGTGGCTCAAGTGATAAGAGCATTTGGCTAGCAAGCGTGAGGGCTTGCGTTCAAACACCAGTGCTGCCAAAAACAAAAAACAAAAAAATAACTCAGAATGCCTACACAGGCATGTGTCTTGGGTTCAATCTCCAGTACTGCCAAAGCAAAACAAAACAAACATGTAGCTTTTTCTTTAGCATTTTCAAATGGCTTCCAATCAAACTTAAAATTCAAACGACTACCCTTGGGCTTTTAAAGAAAGCCCTAACTCAGGTGCTGGTGGCTCACACCTGTAATTCTGACTTCTTGGGAGGCTGAGACTGGGGAGACTGAGATCAGGAGGATTGTGGTTCCAGACCACCTTGAGCAAACAGTTTAATCTGAACAGAAAAGATCCAATCTCAACAGAAAAGGCTAGGCATGATGGTGTGCAACTGTTATCCCAGTTATGGCAGAAAGTATACCACAGGAAAATTGCTGCTCAGGTCAGTCTGTGCAACAAGCAAGACCCTATCTCAAAAATAACCAAGCCAGGCGCTAGTAGCTCATGCCTATAATCCTAGCTACTTGGGAGGCTGAGACTGGGAAGATTGTGGTTTGAGGCCAGCCTGGACAGTTTATAACCAGAGTAAAATGGACTGGAGATATGAGCACCTGCTTTATAGGTTAGAAGGCCTGAGTTTGACCCCCAGACCCACCAAAAAAACAATAAAAAAAAAAAACCAAAAAAATAAAAAAACAATCAAACAAAAAAACCAAACAAAATCAGAGCAAAAAAGGGTTAGAGGTATATAGCTCAAGAGATAAGAGCACCTGCCTAGCAAATGGGTAATCAGTCCTGAGTTCAAACTCCAGTACCACCAAAAAAACCCAACCAACCAACCAACCAACCAAACAAGAAAAAAACCACCCTACATAGTCTGGTTACTGCCTGTTCAACCTGATTCTATAGCTCCCTCCTCCCTGTACACTATGTCCCAGACACATAGACATTCTTTTATTTCTTTGAACATGGCAAGCTCATTCCTACCCTAGGGCCTTCGTGGACTAGCTGTCTCCCCTGGGTGGAATGTTCTTATCCCAGATCAGAATACCTGTTGTTAAGACTTTTCCTGATCACTCAATCTAAGAAACTATGCAGTTTGTCTCCCATCACCTCATCTGAGCAGTTATTTTCTTATTACTTGTTTACAAGTAGGTATCTTCTTGCTTATTTATTTCTGTCCTCTAAAATCTAAGTTTTATGACAGTAGGTACCTACTTGTTTACTGCTGTATCTCTAGCTATACTGAGGAAAGTGATGACTGAGTGGCCCTCAGCACTTTTTTAAAAATCTGGGCACTATTGAAGGTTGTTTGCATCCCTTAATACTGTGACTCCACCAGTGTGAAATCCATTATTCTTACAGCCTCTTTATCCATCATTGGTATTACTACCATGGGAAGCACTTCCATTACCTGAGTCAGAGCTTGAATACTTGTGTTGATGTCACCACTGGCTACTTGGGAGATAATGAAATTGATTGTGGATGCTGTATTACTGTGCATATCATCGAAGTGTGGAGAAACTGCCCGGATCCTAGACAGCAAATCAAATGGAAAAATTTAATCTCTATTGTAAGACATCTGAATAAATTGGAATTATGCAATTCCTTACTAGATCCAGGTCTTGGTGAAAATTTTTTAAAATTTGCTATCATAGCAACTGGTTCTAGAATGCTTTAACTGCACTTTTCCACAGAGTACTCTTTTCAGATATATACTGTTACAATCATTATGAACATCTTATTCTTAAATGAACAGGTGAACTTACTTGGGTTCAGGAATAAGGACTGGTTCAAAAATGTCATCCAGTTTGTGCTGGACAAGTTCTGGCATTTCACATCGGACTGTACCATTGTCATTCTCAATCTCATCTAGATCCAGCTGGAATTCTCGACGAACCATCTGGGCTGTCTCAGGATGTCCACTCATGCTTCGGGCTTGGCTAAGGGAAGCGAAAGAGGTTCCTGAAGTAAGAGAGACTTCTTAACCGAAGGGCAAGAATAGCACTGCCAACTGACCCAAAGCTTCAAGACAGATGTTCAACTTCTGGTTTCAGCCCCCCTGAATGATTTAAATCCTTGAGTTGTAAGAAAGTGCCTTAGGCAAGAATTGGTTCACAAATAGCCTAAGAGAGCACACAAGCTTAAGCTTTATATTACTAGCCAAGTTATAAGTATTATCTCTAATTTGCTAAAGCCAACAAAGCTAGTACTTCTATTCCTAATGGGGGAGAAGATTAATTAAATTGACCCAAAGCTTTCTATTTTACTATTACTTAAAAAATATTAAGGGAAATATAGACTAGTTGGGTTTTCTTTTTTCCCACCAAACTGACGAGTGCTTAAGTTCTTCTAATCATAAGGATCATTTCATGCAGTGTTTATTACATTTTGTACTTTGAAGGAGTCACCCTTTTTAAGAATATTTACTCTTACAGGTCAGGGCCAGCAACATACCTCAAAAATAGGTATGCAAAGTTCCTAAATTTAAGTTAGTTAAAATTATACTCATGCTACAACCCAAAATAAATCTGTTTTGCTTAGGGCAGAATTTTTGAGTCTCTAAGCCAATTCTGGGTTGCATGCATTTCATTTAGCCTTATCTCAAGAACAGGAACCTGAGCACAACCAAATAAAGCATGACATTAAGTTACCATTTCTGCCAGCCACTGGACTTTTATGGAAGGCTTGAAATGTATGTCCACCCTCTACCCTGGTTATAAACTCTAAGCCAGTCGCCCTCCAGAGGGGATGAATCCATGTAAGAAGTTAGAAAGATATAAGAGCCCTGCTAATGAGAAATTAGCAGGCAGTACTTACATCCTATAAGTGCGATACATAATTCTGTCCACGGAAAAGCAGTGAAAGAAGGCACAAGACCATTTAGAAGTGGTTTGGAGACAAAGACAAAGACAATGAAGACTGGAAGATTAAACATTTGCTTGCAAGACATTTACCCAGATACTCTGTTATGCATGGTAATGATGACAAGAACTCAAAATTATATTATGGGACAAGCTCTGAGCACACAAAGCTAAGTCCATAGAGATGCTCTCAGACAACTATTTTCATCTACATACTTGAGTTTGGAGGACATGTCCTCAGCTGGTCCCTTGCGTAGCATGTTGGCATTGGAGTTTATGCCCTGTGTGCGCTGAGGTTTCTCTTCCACCTGTTTCACTGGTGCAACAGAGGGCCTCTTTGCTGACCGCTTAATCCTCTCCTCAAGCATGCTCATATCCTTTTCAGAAAGCTATAAAAAGAGATCCAATTTAACCTACTAGCACATCCATGTACTAAAATAAGAGAATTCAAACCTTATGGACAACTCAAGAATTATTCTGAGTGAAGTGGCCCACATCTGTAAACTGAGCTATGCAGGAGACTGAGGCAGGAGGATGGGAAGTTTGAGGCCAGCTTGGGTCAGAGCATGAGTATTTCCATACTGAAGATAATACAAGCTACCATACTGAAGATAATACAAGCTACCATGTTAGAAGTTTACTTTCAAACACCACATCGTTTAGTCAACTACTGCTAATACCTGCTTATAAGAGAACTTATGAGAGAAGAATATAAAAGAAAAGGCTATTAAAAATTATAATTAAAAAGTTGCCTCATCTTTGTTTTGTTACTACTAAGTAGCTTCATGGGTAAGAATCTATACTTTTGGTAATCTGTAAAGTCCTCACCTGCTTTATCTTCTTCACTATGTGGTAGTGAGGAGTTGATTAGGTAACAGAAGAAAAGTGACTTAAGCCCAGTATATACAAATGGTGCTACTACAAGGCTATTGAAGGAAAGAACTAAGGTCCAGCCACAATAGTGACTTGCTCAAAGGAAGCCAGGAGTCAGAGGCAGAACCTAAGGTGCCTGGAAAAGTGGCTCATAGCTGTGGCTCAAGACTCTTGATCTGGCAGGAACAATACCCACACTGTTCTCAAAGTAGTACATGTTAAATGAAAACCAAATGCATTAAAAATTACAGAGCAGATTGCAACACAGAATTGAAGCTCCAGACTAGCTCATATTCCTAGATTCAAAGTTAGTTCTTATTGCTAAAGCAAATTGCTATGAATAGAATGCTTTCAAAAGAAAACACGGCTAGATGCATAGCCAAGTGGCATGAGGCTATGTGTTCAAACCCTAGTACAGTACAGAGGGGGAGGGAGAAAGGGAGGGAGGAAGGAAAATATGAAGCCAGGCACTGGTGGCTCACATCTGTAACCCTAACTACTTAGTAGGCAGAAATTGCACTGCAGTTCAAGGCCAGTGCAAGCAAAAACTTCAAGAGATCCTCAACTCAACTAGAAAAAGTTGGGCATGGAAAGCACCTGTCATTCCAGCTATGGCAGGAAGTATAAGATAGGAGGATGGGGGTCCTGGTCAGCCTAAGCAAAAAAGCAAGACCTTAACTCCAAAATAACCACAGCAAAAGGGCTGGAGTTGTGGTACAAACAATAGAGAGCCTACTAGCAATTTCTAAGCCCTTAGGTCAAACTCAGTAACCACCAATAAATAAATAAATAAATAATAATAATAATAAAAGAAAATTTGATTTCCAGTCAAGTACTCCTGAAATGTTCAACAATAATCAGAGATGTCTCAAGTGTCTACCTGGATTCTAGGTAGACACGAGATGGGTTGAGTTTACTAACAAGTGGTACAATTTAGGTATAGCTAAGACTGCAGGAAACCTAACAACTAAAAAATCTTAGAATTCTTTTCACAATATGCTGACAGTGCCCAGAAAAACAACACTCACATTTCCAATCAATTTGAACACCTGATCTCCATGTACATTGTACACTGTTACAATGGTGTTGAGGGCAGCGTTGCGTACAGCATTGTCCCGGTCTCCTATGTGAATAGCTATCTCCTTTAAGGCTTTTCCTGGGGTTGGTTGGCAAACATTCATGCCATAGGATTCAACCAGACACCCCAGTTCTTCCAGGCACTCTGTTGAAGGAGAAAGGGTAGATTAATGAGGCCCAACACACATTTGGCATAGAAAGCCCTCCTTAGTAGATAGATTTTATTTGGCATGAAAGGAGGACTAAAATCTTACCTACTTTAATTATTATTATTATTATTATTGCCTTTTATCAATGAAATAAGGTTGTTACAGCAAGTTCTCCTGAAAGGGATACCTGTGAGTCAGATGGCCCCTGTGCACTTGATTTTGTCACCAGGGTGGTACTGAGTGGTGCCTGTATCACCTGACACCATGGCTCCACCAGTGTGCAACTCATCACTCTCACAGTCTAAATCAAAAGATTAGAATCAACTACACAGTCAATTTAGAAATTTTATTGCTTGCCTATAAGCTATTTTATCTAGGAGTCACCACTGCAGAGAGGCTCACATGCTCACATTGCAATTTAAACTGTTTGGGGTTAGAGGTGAATCTCAAAAGTTAAGAGCATTTGCCTAGCCACTGGCTTCTTCAAGCTTTAGCATTTACACACACACACACACACACACACACACACACACACACACAACTGTTTGCCTCACCTGCTCTCTGCTTAGAATTTTTGGATTTGGTTCCTTCCATGATGAAAGGGAACATCTTGCTAGCCGGGTAGACAAGGCACATCCGGTTCAGGATGGCACGAACATCTTTACGAATGACATCCTTTGGTTCTCCAACCTAATCAGAAATGAAAAATAATGATTGAATGAGGGCTTTCCTGAGCATGAGAATAAGTGGTGGAGGGTACATTGATAGAATAAATGAAAATGAGCAAGTGAATAAAAGTATAGGAATTGAGATTAACTGGGCACTTAAGCAGCCTCCAAGGACAAGAACAACATACTACCTTGAGGATGAGATAGGGGATGAAGGAAGATGCTTCATTTTCAGTAAGATGATATTCCTCTTCACTTAGCAGAGTAAAGAGCAATTTTAAATATTCCAGTGCTTTCATTAGGACACTTGTATTTGTGTCAAAGAACCGTAGGGTAAGCCACTTTAAGATAAGATCCAAGCAACCAATGACACCTTCTTTTTCACTCTCCAAGTGCTTAAAACAAAACAAAACAAAATTCCCATAAATAAGACTGTATAAAGGCTTAGGTTGTATCAGGCAAGTATTTCTTAAATTTTATTGAAGCTCAGAAAGGAAATGATAAACATTATTTTGAGCCCAGGCTTGCCTTGAATTCAAAATCGTCGTACTTCAGCCTCCTAAGCACAGGATTACAGGAGAGTACTACCATACCCAGTAAAATGATAGATTTTTAAGCCTTCAACTAACACCCCCAAAATATACATTCATTAAATAAGATAGCTCTACAAACTGAAAACATGGTGTATTCCACTTCCACGTCAATGCATGCAAACTTCTGAATATTCACAGGCTCAGTATTTTAACAAGCCTGAGATATGTGCACATTTATCTATTGCAGGCTTACATCAACCATGACAGCCAGAGCTTTATTGTGATGCTGAAAATCTGAGTGAAACATCTCATCTTGTAACCATTTAGCCACACAGCTAGACATTTGAGTCTTCAGTTGTTCAATGTATTCATCCCGTGGGGTAGTAAAATTCCACTTTAGCACCTTGGAATAAAAAAAAAAA